GGTCGAGCTGTTGTTCAGTATCTTAGCTGTAGAGGGCAGTGTCACTGGCCCTCATATGTGGGATCTGAACCAGGGCCCTCTGGCATCCCAAGCCAGCTCTTAACCAACGCACCACTCAGTCGGCCCAAGGATTTTTTAACATACCTTTTTCAACCTGGGCACAGCTACCTCTGTGTAACCCAGCTTCCTGTGCTTGGGCTTCTTTCTCCCTCCTGCTCTAAAGGGTGATGCAGAGCCAAGCTGCACACAGGGCCTGCCCTAGTGCTAAATGCTTTGAGGGTGATCACTGAGTACTTCATGTGGTTCTTCCTGCAGGAGGGGTGATAGAGTCTATGAGGATAGAGCAGGACTTCTCCACCAGGAACTATGGACACTCAGGCCGGATCCTCCTTTGTCGTTGGGGCTCTCTTGTTCATTGTAAAGTGTTACAGCAATCCTGCTCCTACCTGCTAGATGGCAACCCAAAATGTCTTCAGACATTGCCAAGGATCCCCTGGGAGGCGGCAGAATTAACCCAGTTCAGAACAACTGGGCTAGAATATGCATCAGGGGTCCAAAACTTCCTAAGACTGGAAGCACTTGGTGGTGGGCTCCCTCCTAGTGGTCTGCACTTTAGTGTAGCCCTGGCAGCTCCCAGGATGAACCCCAATTGGGGCAACCACAGGTCCGAGCCCAATGCTTGTTCTCAGGCTCACTGCTCATGGACTGGACACAGCCACTCATCTGGGGAAGGAGCTTTGGTAGCACATCTGGACTGACCAGGTGTTTTCGGGGCTGCTACAGCGAGCGCGGGTCAAGCTTGAAGTCCCCTACAATCCACTTGGTTGATACAAAGTGGCACAATTAATGTTTAAATTACACAGAGAGAAGGGCAGCTCTGCTGTGCAGACTCTGTGGCTAATGTCTTTAAGTTCAGACCACCCAAGTTTGGTTTCATTCTTAATTTCCCCACTTTAGTTTCGGGTCCGTTTATTCTGAGGAGGAACATGCACAAGAGATTTTTCTAGGTGTCGTGCTCAGTCAGTGCCACTTGACTTTGTCAGAGATTATGGCTGAATTGTGCAGAATTAGTCTCCCACCAGCCTCCTCTGACACCCCAGGTCTCCTCTCACTTGGCCAGTCCACAGACTGAGGGTGCTCACTGCCCAGACTGCAGAGGCTGTAGTCACTGGGAGAGTTTGGTGATGTTACTATTCTTGGAGATGTTGCCACACACATCTTTCCATATTGTTTCTTTTCCTATCCAAACCTAGCATGAACTGATGGTGACTCAAGTGGGTATGGCACTGGCCTCTTAGGCAACCTACACGGCAAGTGCTTTAAATCAGGGCAGGGGTCACTCCCAGAGCCTCTGAGGGGCACAGGCTGATGGGCCAAGGTTGCAGGGCTGTAAATCAGGCTGCCTGTAGAAAACTGGTCTGGGGAGGAAGTTGTTCCAGCAAAGAGCGGTGTTGTCTCTGGCCCAGACAGCCGTAGTGGGCCACTGAACAAGCCTACCTGTATACCTGAATTTTCCCCATAACTCATTTCTTCAATATGAAGAAACACCAAACTTGATGTACAGAGGACTTTGTACAAAAGGCAAACATTTTTTAGCTGTGTAATCCACCCTAGTAGAACCTGTCTGGCTGAATGACTATGAATAGTGTCATTCTGTTGGTGAAAAGCCTCTATCACGATCCTAAGTTTGATTGGATGCTGGCAAAATTAAATCTTGGAGTATTTAGAGCTGCTGTATGTTCCTTAACAACACAAAATAGGATGAATCAATAGTATGTTAGCTGTCTTTCAGGTTGCTGTCAGTTAGGACGTTTAATACTCTCTACCTGGTCTATAGCTGTAATTGTGGTGTACAGGCACAGCAAAAGTTAAACAAACAAACTTGTGAAAACAATGCAATGATACAGGACATACACTTTCGCGTTTTTATTCTTATGTAAGGTTATTTGCTGGCAATGTTGGGTTCTAATTCAGCCTGTGTTATTTAAAATACAACATATAAATTATCTGGATTCAATTCATGTTTCGGGGTCACATTGTTGTATATATACAGCCTTGAATATGAGTAATTATTGTAAACTATATTTTACAACTTTTTTTCTGGCTTTATTATATAAATTTTGTATTTGGCCAATGATTTAATTATATCATAATTTAATGAATCTATTTGTCTTTTTTGAAATATCTGTGCTTCTGATGTAGTTACCGGATGATGAACTGTAAACGTATGTGTGGTTGTCTTGTAAATAAAAAAAGCGCTCGCTGGCGTAGCTCTTCCTTGGGCCGGGGGTCGGGCGTGGTCGCGGCCTGGATTGGGGGCCGGGAGTCCGGATCAGAGCACCGCACACACTAGGTGGACAACAGCGAAACCCTCTCGAGCCCGGCGCCGGTCTAACCCACCAAGCTCCCGCTTCCCTACTCCAAAACCACGACGCGCCGGACTGCGGCCGGAAAGGGGCACGACCGTCTGCTTTTCAGGGCCGGAACTTCCGATTCTTGTGACGCCAGTGCGGACGCTTTTGAAGGGCGGACACGTGGGCGGGCCAGAGCTAGGAGGACTCTATTAAAGGCCGGACGCTTCCGGTGGAGGGGACCTGTGGTGGGGCTTGCGGGGATCATGGCGGAGAATCGTTGCGAGCTGCTGCAACCGGCCCCAGTCGGCTTCGGGGCGGGGTTGGGGGGCAGCGTATGTCGCCGCTGCAGCGCGGGTCTCGGCGCTTTGGCCCAGCGCCCTGGCAGCGTGTCCAAGTGGGTCCGGCTCAACGTCGGCGGCACCTACTTCCTAACCACCCGGCAGACGTTGTGCCGGGACCCGAAATCTTTCCTGTACCGTTTGTGCCAGGCGGACCCCGACCTGGACTCGGATAAGGTGAGGTGCGCGCGGACCGGCCAGCCGGGTCCGGGCCTCCCTGGCCCGCGCTGAGGAGACCCGCCCTGGGCTCCGAGCTCTCGTCGCCAGCTCGACACGAGCCCCTCAACTCCCTGTTCTGGGCCTGGGTAAGAAAGGATAGCTCCCTAGCGCCCACCACCCTCGAGGATCCCCAGCTACTCCACCTCGGGGTCTCTCGCTCGCTGTCTCGCCCTTACTGCTCTTGAGTGGAGGAGGTTTCCCACACCCCGGACTTTGCTGTGGATCTACTTTCTTTTCCTCCGTACAGATTCTTTTGTCCCTGATGTGTGACCACCTTCTCTTCTCCGTTCCAGTGCACTTACTGGTTCTGGAATGGGAGAAATCTTGCGTTCCTTTTACCTTTTCACATTTCAGACGTTTCACTTAAGGCTGGATTGAGGGGTGGGGGTGTGTGGGGGGGTGTTCACACGGTGGCCTGCCTTTCCCAGTGACTTGCATTTAGAGAGTTGCTGCTCCATCGTTTTCAGCCACAACACGCACCCCATTCAGCATACTAAGAAGGTGCTGTCCATAGAAGATTTCAAAGAGAATGTTGTTCATATTTAAGGGATGGCTTAGGGGGGTGTGAAGGAAGGGCCAGGTAGGAAATCTTATCTGCTTTCTAATTATCCTAGTTTTCCAACTGCCCTCGAAAAAGGATAGGAATTTCTAGGTTGGTTTGCAGTTTCTCTTTATCAAATTTAATGTTCACAGTGTTGTCTAGATGGTAACAAATTATTTTGTTGATTACCTTTACTTTACAAGACTTGTGTGGCTGAGGAAGAGTATCTCGAAAGCTGAACAACTGTACATGATTGAAACTCGGCAAAGGCTCTTTCGGAAAGAGTTTTTTTTCCTATATTTATCCTAGGGAGTTCACAAGCCTTATTTCCTGGGTCTTTCAGTTGGGCCTACATAATTTCACTTGGCTTTGTGCCTTGCCAGCCCAACATTTGCCAGGCATAAGGCTTCCCAAGAAAGATTCAGATCTTTCAACTTCAGAAGCCTGACAGAGATCATCCTCAGATCAGGAAATGAGAAGTCTCGAGTTACCACAAAACAACCCTTCATGGATAGAAATCAGAGTTTGAGTTGCCAGCCCTCTCTGTTCCTCCCACTCCCTACCCCCCCCCCCCCCCCCCCCCC